CTCAGGTCTGCACGCACATACTCAGGCACGCATGCACATACTCAGGCACGCACACACATACTCAGGTACGCACGCACATACTCAGGCACGCACGCACAACTCAGGCACGCACGCACTACTCAGGCACGCACGCACACACTCAGGTACGCACGTACATACTCAGGTACGCACGCACATACTCAGGCACGCACGCACATACTCAGGCACGCACACACATACTTAGGTACGCACGCACATACTCAGGCACGCACGCACATACTCGGGTACGCACGCGCGCACATATCGTTTGTAAATAAGTTTGTATGGTGAGCGCACAAACTACTATCGCCACCTAGCAAGTGCGCGGTATATTTGTAGAGGCACGACCATTTAGGTGTCATATTGCATTTTTAGTCTATTATTGCTCTCTGTTTGGCATACCATGGTATTCTGTATTGGTATTGCGACTACGTATAATTTTCTGCGGACGGTACGTCTAAAAAACCTATTAATTAGTGTTAGCGAAGGCAAACAACGTTGCCAAATATATGTCGATGTATATGATCATTACGTAAGTTTGTTAACTGCAGGTGTGTTTTGCCCAGGAATGATCTAGCAGCGCCATCGTGCGGAGAAATATGCTCACTACTGGCAAGGAGAAGATAAATACTGAAGGACGACAACGAATATTTGTCATCAAAGTGAGATAAATGAGTGACTGTGTTGCTGGTTCTGGTTATTTATAACGTCTACGCACGCACACGAGGGCGCGCGCACGCACGCACACATACCCACACACACGCACACGTATACTACACACACTCATTGCTAGACCGAATACCACGTAGTGTATCAGTCGCCATGGCAACGGACGAAAGGAGCCTAAGAAGAATACTGATGCTGATGATGGTGGATGCGGTGTCCAGCCTTCTCCTCGACCACACTGACAACGAAGAAGACATCCTGTGATGCACTACTGCAGAGCAAACTGCTAACGAGGTAGGACGCACGTATTAGCCAATACATTACCATGTATCGATTAGCTCATAACTATTATATACTATATTAATAATTATTATAGTTTATAATAATTGTCTAGTTGATTGTTGCTGTTAGCTATTATTTTGTTTATATATAGCGTTCTATAGCGTTTATAGACATTGCCAAAGAATGCAGAAAACGTTTGTGTATACCCTGCTTGTACAAATAACCCTATGATGTTTGTTTGAAATATTATGATTATGTATTAATAGTGTATATGATGCTTGTTGCAATAAAAGTAATGGTGTCAGGGTGCAGTATAATTGTCACGACTTGGTCGTGAGTATGGTCAATGTAACACGATACCAATGTGAATTAATTGATTGATGATTGATGACGTAACAATATATGAATATTGATACATTGGCATCAAATTCTACTACATACAGAAAGTGTGTGCGTGCGTGCGTGGGTATACAAGTATGGCAAAATTAGGATGAAACCAACCGTATATGACGAAAAATAATAATGCATAACAATAACAGTTACGTTATGAATGCGGATATCATAGTTATCACATGCTAAACTAATTGCAATAACACATTGGTACAGTTTTCTTAAGAAATATTGGTAAAAGTAAGATAACGAGTTTGCTTAACGCTACATAAACGAATTGCTAAACGAATAACGCTTAATGCTAACGGAATACGTGTAACATGTCAACGTGACTAGAGTAACTGTCTGCTGTAGTTCTTACAAACTGTTGAACATTATATTATGATGATATAGAGAAAGTGAATGAAAACAAGTAAGACGTGCCAAAGTTATCAAAATTAACACTTCATAAACTGCCTGAGAGTAATTTCCACTTCCGGTAACAACGCTATGAGCGCCATCTGGTTTGTACCACGTGACTGCCATAACCCCATTCGTGCGCATTGAGTGGCGCCACCGTCGTTGTAGTCAAACGAATGGAAAATAACTGCTAATATTTATTAGTCGGAGATGCTGTCGTTCGTATACATCACGAATTGACTGTCTTTGCTATTTAATTAGCACTTTGTACTTGAGTCTGTTAAAAGACTATACGATCTGCTATCATCATATAAATGAATTGACGACGTGATGGCGAGCCGATCTTCTGCTCCTTCCGTTTGTTTACATCGCGACACCTCAGAGATTGGTTGACGCACAGGCACTTGGACCGTCTCAATAACAAAAAAAGCAATGGTAAATAAACACGAAATGCATTTAGTACCGAAGTCTTAATGTTTCTCTACTCTGTTTCGCCTATTATTGGCATTATTGCCGATAACTTCCTTTGAATGCCGTTCTGGCGTTCAAATACTCGTCTGCAACACACGAGCACACCGCACCCACTGATGCTATGGACGCTACATTATGGAATGGCCAAGCCTAGCAACGAGTAAGCGTAAGTAGCAACGATTACTCTTAGTCTTGGTCTTAATTGGTAGTTGTCGTATTCCTCGTAACAATAACGTCGTAATGCCTCAATGCTCAGTACCTGGTTGCTCTCGACAAGGATCACTAACGTTTCCAAAGTCTATTGAGTTACGTAAAAGGTGGTTGCAAGCTATTAAACGGTTGGCGGATGATAAGAAGGCTATTTGGGAACCAGGCCAGGCAGCCAGAGTATGCCATGGACATTTCGACGATAATGACTATCACTCGGCTAACTATTATGGTGTGTTCAGCGTGTATACTGTGTAGCCTACATATATCATTATATGGTAACATAGCTGTAGTCTGTAGAAATTCATGTTATTTGTAGCTGTAGTCTGTTGTATGTTATATGTGTATATGTTATTTGTAGCTGTAGTCTGTAGAAATTCATGTTATTGTCTTGTAAAACGAAGTATATTATTAAATCTATGCCGATTTCCTGTTTATTGTACCCTACTGCAGTACACAATCTATTATCCCAAACCCTTGGGACCAGCCACGTTTCGGAATTCAGAATTTTTCAGATTTCGGAATGGTAGTACAGTACAGATATACATGCCGTATAATTGCATTAGATATTTTCATAAGTTTCTTTTTTATTGAATAGGGTTATAAAATTTACAATAGGTAACATTAAAAAGGACCCGCTTACTACAATTTTGCGTGTTAACATTTTTTACCTGTATAGCCAATTATAAATTGGGCTTTCCTATTTTCATAGGTGGTAAACCACTAAATAGACGCTTGAAAGCTGATGCTGTGCCACATCTTTTTGGATGGAGTACACCAAAGTGCAGTGCAGCGGAGAGGAGGCGCGAGCGACAACAAAAACGTGAGGAGCTGCAGCAGCAGCGAACAGAACACAGTCTTGTGGAAGTAGGCGAGGAAGTTGAAGTTATTTCAGGGGAGGCATCGGAAGTACTACATGAGACTACTGAAGATGCATGTACACACGTATCTTCTGGTACACAGACTGATTCTATCACCGTATGCAGTACTGTAGGCGATAATTCTCGCTTCAACATTGAAAATTCAACCGATGAAGAAATCCATTACTACACTGGTTTAGGAGATAGGAGCAGATTCAACTTAGTCCTTTATTCGCTTGGAGATGCAGCGTACCACCTCAATTATTACAAGAAAGCTATACCCAAGATCAGCATTGCAAATCAGCTGTATCTCACATTGATGAAGCTTCGGACAGGACACCCAAATAGAGAGTTAGGTTTTTTTTTCCAAATCGATGAAAGAGCTGTAGCGAACATTTTTATTACTTGGATCAACTTTATGTTCCATCAGTGGAATGAAATAGACTGGTGGCCTTCACAAGAATTAGTTAGATATTTCGCACCCACTGATTTCAGAGCCAAATTTTCAAAAACACGAGTCATAGTAGATGGTACAGAATTCCCCATCCACAAACCAAAGAACCCACTACCTCAACAAGCATCTTTTTCAACGTACAAAAACAAAAACACTATGAAAATACTTGTGGGTTCAACACCAGGTGGTTTAGCGTCATATGTATCCCCTGCCTACTGCGGTTCAGCCAGCGATCGGCAAATAGTAGAGCGATCCAATTTACAAAGCCTCTGTGATCCGAGCGATGAAATCATGGCCGACAAAGGATTCAATGTCGAAGATCTATTCATACCACATAATATTGCATATATTATATACATCTATTATATTATATTTATACATATATTAGTGCCAGTAGCCTAAATAAGTAAGATTCAAGGCAAGGCCTCATCTAAACCTATCTATTCCTGTTACTGTACATGCTAACACGGCCAGCGTACAGAATCGCTAGTGTGTCCTAGGCTTTATGCATCATCTGGTATAATGCAGGGCCTGAAGTTAATAAGTCTGCATATCACTGTGCTTATTTCTGTTGCCATTGAAGAATCTATGTGGTTCATGGGTATTTGTAAAATCTTGTAGGTTTTGGCCAGGCCTATGATACGTTCTATATGCACTCTCTTACTAGCGATTTTCCTGTCTTGCATAACTGATTTGTTGCTGAGGCGGTTTTTCTTTTAAAAAAATGTTGGTATGTTCATCGAGTATGCTTTGATCGTCTACTACAGCTGTGCTCACATTGTATTTGTATTCTTTGTATTGATTGTAACTGTCATTCTGAGAGGCATTATTGCAGTTTTTATAGATTTCCGTTATCAGTATTGAAGCCGCGTATCTATAAACGTACACTTGAGTGCCACAAATGGACACTTTACTTCGGCAAGGCCAGATGCTCAAAGAGATGTTCAATAAAAACTGACTGTAAGATTTGTAAACGAAGTGGTCAATCAAAGCTGGTTCGAATGTATTATTATAAAACAATTTTAGTTTCTGCAGCATGTCATCAATAAACTTTTCATTGNGAGAGAGAGAAATAGAGTGTTGAATAAAAGGAGATGGACGGAGACAGGCAGACCTACCGACATACAGGCTGATGGAAGGACGGATGGATGGACGGACGAACAGACAGACAGACAGACAGACAGACAGACAGACAGGCAGACAGACACACAGACAGACAGAGAGACAGAGAGACAGAGAGACAGACACACAGACAGACACACAGACAGACACACAGACAGACAGAGACAGACAGACAGAGACAGACAGACAGTTCTCTTTAGCTTTATCGTCATTGATCATTCATTATGTATCCTTACTATGTTAAACTCGTGTATCATTTAACAGCCATTATATATGTAATAATATCACATTGTATCATTC